CCTTGATACTAAGGTCTCCCTTCTTCCCCCTTTACAGGTCTCTAAATGGATGCTCAACATAGCACTAAGGTGTTCCACCATTTTTCGCACCATTCATTCCTCTATGACTTCTTTAGGCGAAGGCTCCAAGTCTTCCTTTTACTTCCTTTTCTCCAAGGTTGTGGCCTTCCTCGACATTGTTGTGCACTATCGAGGCAGAGAAACCCCAAGTTCATATTTTATCCCCATTAACTTGGGATATTATGGATGAAAGGTCTTCCTCCCTTCATTGGCTTCCTATTCTTGTTCTCCTTCCCACCTGCGTATATCTGCGTGAATGCACTATCATATTTTCTTCTGAATTTTAGTCATTGGAGGTGGTTGGTGGTACTACGGGAACTTCAGGTGCTGAGCTACATAACATCGGCCTTTTAGGGGCTCTATCGACTTGATCATCCTTGGACGATCCTAATACCCCTCGACCTTGATGGCTTGCCCAAGCATGAATCTTGTAGATAACTCTTTGAATTTTTGCGTAGGATGACCCTGTGAAGGCTCTTGTATATCTTTGCCATGTTCCCTATAACTTGGTCCCATGGACTTTCCTAACCAATCCTCATAGTCCTGCTTCTGCAATAACTATTCACCCGACCTTTACCAACGAGTTCCATTGTAGTGCCATCTCTTTTGCAGCATTTCACCCACCTTTTCTCACTCCTCCTCTTTCAAAGTGAGTTCATAATAAGCTTTGCACCTTTGACATAAGCCTTTCTTGACCATAGGGGAGGCATCCTTCTTATCACTAGGCTTTTCTGCGTTGTTTGCACTACCACTGCCTAAATCAACATTTTTTCACAGATTTTTTGATTACCCAACCTCTTCCATGTTAATGGTGGTGATCTTTTGGAAAGGGTCCTTGTCAACTCCCATCTTCGGCTTTGTTTTGTCTCTAAAACTTAAATGGCCCTTACTTAGTCCATCTTGGATAGCATTGTAGAATACCACATAATTTTTAGTAGTATGGCTCCAAAAGTTGTGTCATTTGCAATACGTCTTTCCCTATAGCTCATGGTTAGAGGAATCTTGTGACCATAAGACAGCTTGATAACACCTTATGTCAAAAGGTGGTCAAAGATCTGATCAACCTTTGAGATACCAAAGTCGTACTTTTGGTTACTATCACCAGCTCCTTTCTTGGTGCTTGATGGAATCTGTGCCTTATCCTTTGAAACCCAAGCTAGGGTGCCTTAAATATGTGTGGCTTTCTAGCCATAATTTTTGCCATATTCACTTTCAACTTTAGGTCTGGCTCAACCATGAGAATCTCTGTGTTGGGGTTGCAATAATAGTTTCCCATAGATGGTGTTCCTACGTTCCTATTCCTCTCAGAGGATTTATTCATAACGAGTGGCTCGCGTTGCCAATTCGAACAAATCATTGAATTTCATCCCTTCAAATTTCTTTCGAAGTTCAAAACCAGGATCGATCTAGGCTATAAAAACATGTACCATTTCAGGCAAAGCTAGTTGACACTTCTTCCTTGACTTCTTAAAATGTGTAATTTATTGCTCCGCAGTCACTCTAGTGATCTGGTATAACCTGGCTAAGTCAACCATAGCTACTTCAGTCTCAATTCAGTAGAATTGAGTGTGGAACCTATCTTCCAACCACTACCAGCTTAACATTGAGTTAGGCAAAAATATATGTACCATCTAAAAGTCGTTCTAGTTAGAAAATTCACAAACAATCTCAATTTCAAGAATTCACTTGTCCTCACCTCTCCACATTGCACATTAGAGCCCCCCATGTGCTCCACAATCAACTAATTGTCCTTGCTGGATAATGTTGCAAATACTGGGACCTTTATAGCCATAAGGATATTTGTGTTCCCTATCTACCCAGTTAGGGTATGGCGTTCGATACATCATCCTGGTGACTCGCCCATGGCAACCGACAAGCTCCAAGATAATTTCATCCAGTTAGCCTTTGTGCATGACAATTTGTGAGGTCGCTGGAAGAACAACTGGTGGCTGCCTCTTTTGCCCCCCAAACTTAGGAATAGGAGCATATCCTCTTAGAATAAACGATTGTTGTTTCTTTAGGGGTCATTCCTGATCTGCTGCTCCCTTTGACGTGACATGTACAAAGTAAACACTGGGTGTGGTGCTTCCATTGGTATTTCTTGTACAGGGGAAGCATCAGGTGCCTTGCACCTCTTGGTCAGTTCAAATTGTCAAACAGCCGCTCCAGTGCCTGCCTGGTGTGGGCAGGTTATTCTCTTATCAAGTCTCCCAAACTATTGGTGAATCTAGAAATTTGTTGGGAGACTTCCTAGGATAATTCTTTGATTGATGCCTCTGACTCTGAGTCAGACTCTTGATTTTCTTGTCCCCTAGGGGAGGTAACTCCTCTTGCAAGTTAGGGATGCCAGACCTGTGTTATTCAACTACTTTGTGCTCTAGTGGCACTTCTGCTGAGCAAATCTTGCCCTTTCCACGAGTGTTTATCATGTTGTTACCTTGAGACCCACTAGACATGCCAAAAAATCTATTTGACATATTTTTGGATTACAGACGTGTCAAAGTCCGACTGGACTTAAAATCTAAACACTTACAACCTTACATATTCGAACCAGTGTTAGGTTCTAAAATCCTGGCTATTCAGACAATTGTAACGAAACTTAAGACTACTTCTAGACTCTTTTCTTTGCCTTGGGTATCAAAGACTTAACTAATTTTTAAGTAAGCAACTTAATGAACTAGGATTTGGGAAAGGAGCTAGGATTAATGATAACAAAAATAAATGACAAATGGAAATGTGAAAACTACTATATTCTACATTAACCAGAAAAGAAAATCAATAGAGTGATGGTTACAAGAAAAATGAAATTTGCAAAATAAACTAAGTAAAGGATAGGCTGACTCTGTGTATTGTTGTGTGTTGATCGAAGTATCTCTCCTTGTATCCTCGCTTCCGATATTTATATGGGATTACATTCAATAGTCAAAGAAATCTTTTCCAGCCATGACTGCAATTATGACCTCTTCCCTTGATGCACTCCAACATGCACTGAACCATCCTCAATTGGCGGTTCATGATGTTACATCTCCTCGTCTCTCGGGATTTATGGAGTTTTATTCTCTCAACCATCTTATTGTATCTGAACTCTCTTTGACTTTATCTTGACTGTTGAATCTTTGCCACGTGTAATTCTCAGATTTTGATATTTTGGATGTAAACAATATGTGAGAGGCAAAGTGAAAGAAAAGAAAATAAGAAACGGAGTAAAGAGAGAGCACGTATATAAAAAACTTTCTACAAAGTGTTGTGTCATCTCTTTTTATTCTTTCCTCTTTTTTATTAACACCAAGCATAGGCTTCAACATTCTTATTCTAATTAAACTCAGACCATAAAACGAAAACTCATTGGTTAATTATACTTTGTTCTTTTAATCACACTTATTTTCTTAATAATTGTTTTTAATATTGCAAATTTTACTATTTCAATTTGTGATATTTGTGCAAAAATTGTTAAAATTTGGACTAATACAATTTACATTGATTATTTTCTAGTTTGAAATACAATCTATTTTAAGCTGAAATCAGACCATAATTTAACATACAATATCACAAATTTCAATAATTAATGGTGCATTAATCAATCAATAGTTGTAAAATGAAGTCAAAACCATAATATAACATGGTCAATATTTTATTATTACAAACACATTTCTCCTAATCATAAACCCCTTGGAACGAAGGAAATAAACATAAACTCACCAATACCCAAAAAATAATAACAGTAATACTAGATTGATAAAAAATTGAAATTTTAAAAATAACTAATTTGATGTTAATACGACGAATAAAATTTTGATTGTTAAATAAATAAAATATGACAAAAATGTCATTATATTAATTAGGTCCGACAATTGTGTCGGGTGAAATGAGTTCGTGTCAAAAACCTTCAATTTATAATCCATTTGTTTATATAAACAGGTCTAACTATCATACTCATACACGACTCATTTATTAAAAGGTTACCCGACATTGCCTGTGTGTCAGTCGTTAAATAAGATAATCGGTTAGAGTTCTTTGAATCCACACAAAAAATCATCAACTCGCTACATATTACATATGTTTGACTTATTTATTATAACAAATAAATCATAACTGAGCAAAAATGTATGTGCACAACAAAGAATGTCAACAAAATCATCGAGGTGAGGCAAAGATTGAGATACTTATTTTTTTTTTTTTTAGAATTTATAGTGTCATTGTTAACAGATTAAACGGGTTGAAACGAGTTTATGGGTTAAACACGAAATTAATTCATTTATTTCACGAGTCTACCGAGTTAGTCTGTCAAGTACTTGAAATTATTAAGACTGCACTTAAACTTGCTAAATCCGTATCAGGTTCGTATCAATTTCAAATATTTTTTTTCTGCTTTTTATCGTCCTTGCGTTACACAAATGCTATAGTTTTAAATTTATTTATAAATTACAATTATTTTTAAAAAAAAGTGTTTTTAAAATATGATTTCGCATTAAAAATTATTTTAGAATATGTTTTGGTCAAAAATAACAAAAAATTGATAAATAAATTTAAAATTATAATATTTAAATAAATAAATTAAAAGCACACGATAATTTGTTTTTCGAAATTAAAAAAAAATACGCATTAGTTGAGAATAACTAATGCGCATTAGTTGAAATAGAATTCCAATTAAATAACCACCCTCTCCTCCGGTCAACATGTCTTCATTGCGCGCGTGTCCACACCTGCACACACGTTTAAGATAACATTAAACCACCACGAGCCAGTACTCTTTCGAACACCCCTCCGGCGCAACCACCGTGAGCGTTGAGCTCGGAGCCATTGCTGGGATTGACCCACCACTTTCATTTCGTTGTTTTTCTTTTAGTTCGCAAGAGTCCAGGAGCTGCATATCACGCACTTGACTCTGCCTTGTGCTGTTGGTTATATATCTGTTATAGGTATAATTTTTACAAAAGGAGATGATTCAAATATTCTCTGAATATACCCAATTCCACCATCACCAACAATATCATCCCTCAGTGCCATGGAAGCCCATTGTTTCTTCTTCTCCTGTTCTGTCAGCTCAATTTAGAGCAAAACCCCAAATAGAAAAATGGTTAATTAACAGGGATTGCTGGGGCTTTAGTAAAAATTTCCCAAGGCATACGCTAGCCCCTATCGCACCGGCTTCAGTTTTATCGAATTCTAATGATAATAATGATGATTTTGTGGAAATTATTGATGCCAAAACTAGTAGCAGAAGGAGTGGTGATGGAATGTTTGACGGGAGGATTTCAAAAGGGTCGGGAACCACAGCTAGAGGGCGGAGATTGCTGAAGATTCGGGAGGAGAAGAGGAAACGCGAATATGATCGTCTTCACAACTACCCTGCTTGGGCAAAGTCGTTCTCTTTTCTTCTTTCAATGTTTTTTGATTGAATGACTGTGCATTTATGTGTTGCTTATTAGTTTTTGTCTCCTTGAGGAATCTGTGTTTTATTGAAGTGCCTTGAGTTTCGTGTAGGGTCCTTGAAGATGCGTGCAAAAACGATAATGAGCTTCGAGCTGTTCTTGGTGATAGCATTGGGAACCCTGAGCTGATGAGGAAAAGGGTACGGGTGTTTTTTTCACTCTTTTTTTTTTATATATTTTAGGGTTAATGTCCAGAAGGTCTCAAAGTATAAAGTTTATCTCATTTTAGATTCTAATATTTTAATTGCATCATTTTGATCCCCGATATTTTGAATATGTTTTTATATAGTTCTTCAAGCCGACAATGTCCGCATTGCTAATGATTTTTTATTATAAACTTGTCACATGATACCTAAATATGGGCAAAAAATAATTTACATAGTTTTTTATCAAAATTTGGACAGCTCTTGACCAAAATTTTGATAGTTCATGATCAAAAAAATATAATTTGGGTAGTTTTTTTGATCAAAATTTGGATAAAAATTTAAACAAAACTTATCCAAATTATTTTTTTGCCTATATTTAGATATTACGTCATAGGTTTATAGTAAAAAATTGTTAATAATATGGACAAAGACCACATAGAAATATATTCAATACTTTAGGATTAAAATTATGTAATTAAAATATTGAGAACCAAAATAAAACAAGCACGATACTTTGGGAACTTCTAGTGCAATTAATTCTATAGTTTAATATGCTTAGTTGACGGTTTGGGAAAATGCCTTCAAGTTAGCTTTTGAAGTGCTTTTAGGTTTGTTTATTGATCAGTTTCAATTTGATAACCCTATGAAGAAGTACATTATATCCATAGGATATAATTTGTTTAAAGTTCTTGAAGCAGAAATAATCTTTATTAATGATTCATCAACATGTCTCATTTAAAAGTTATGTGATTAAAATAAAGAGTAAATTACACTAGTGGTCCCTAAAGTATGTACTAAGTTTCACTTTGACCCTTCAATTTCTTATTACTCATTTTGGTCCATAAAGTTTTCAATTTTCATTCAATTGTCATGTTATTAACTTCCATCCAAATAATTAAAGGTCAAGAAGTATGAATACAAGTACGAGATGCAAAATAATGATACGGATAGGATGATACAGTAAAATCTTAAAAGTGCGATACAAATACCTTTATGATGTGTCTGTCTTATTCTATGATATATGAATAAAAAATAATACAACATATCAATAAATTCATAGGATATTGTAACAGTATTCGGGATCTGAGGGGCTAGGTAATAAAATACGTCCCAAATTAAAAATAATATATGTTACTGACATAGAGACCACATGTACGATGGCGTAAAGAGGTTTACAAACAATGGATGTTTTGGTTTCTCACTGATTTAACGTGAGAAGACAAAAGGAAGACTTTATTCTATATATTAAGAGACTTAAAACACGAGATTCATGAAGAGATTTTAAATAATAATATACACATGTGATAAATAAAAGTTTCCTAAAGCTATCTAACAACTCCCTTGATGTGCACGTCTTTATGCTTGATTTAGCATTACCACAATCTGGACTCTTGATTCAAATACTCCCCCTCAAACTAGGCCGAGAAATGAGGCCGAATTTAATACATACAGATGCAAAAATCTCACGCGGAAGTGGTTTGGTAAAGATATCTACTAGCTGATTGAAAGAAGAAACAAACTAGGTCACAAAAGAGCCAAGAGCAACCTTCTCGCAAATGTAGTGATAGTCTACTTCAATATGCTTGGATCGAGCATGAAAAAGGGAATTCACGGTGAGGCAAACAGAGCTCAAATTATCACAAAAATAATGTAGGTAGATGAGCCAAGGGAATCTCAATGTCTCGAAGTACAAACCCAAGCCAAGTAATTTTAGCTAAAGCAAATGCCATGGAACAGTATTCAACTTCAGTACTAGATTTGGCAAGTATTGGTTGTTTTTTGGCACTCCAAGAAATACAATTTGGTCCTATAAATGTTTAAAATCCAGATGTGGACCGCTGAGTGAAGAGGCAACTAGCCCAATCAAGATCCGATTAAACATGCAAATCAAATGATCCATAGGCCTGAAGGTGTAAACCATGATCAAGAGTGGCAAAAATATATCAAAGGATCTCTTTTTTATATTTTGTTTTTTCATTTCCCCCTCAAAAAATTAATTTAATATCGTGTGACCCATTGGGCCACGTATTAGATATTAAAGGATCTCTTTCACTGCATGTTAATTCGCTTCAACTGGGCCGATGTATAAGGCATGCGTAAAAACCTGTAGGGACCGATCTATTTTCGTTTGTCTTTTCTAGAGTGATCTCTTTATGACTTAGGGAAAAAAATGGGAAAAAACCCACAGAAGACAACATAGGGCTCACTCTATGAGCTCGCTCGAGCGATCTCATGGTTGCTCGAGCGGTGCCTACCCATGGTCACTCCAGTCTAGTGGCAACTGCCTTATACTTGCCCTTTCACCAATTGAGAGGTCATTCGCGAATTTGAGTTTTCTTATTTACTAAGTCTACCCTTATTTCGGACCTATAAATATAGTGAACTTTCTCATATTTAGGTTAAGCCTCTTGTGAGATTTCTAAGAGAGAAAAAAACATACTTTTACCTTGAGAACTTCCACCACAACTTATATTCCTAAGACCCTAAAGGCTACTACTAGAGATTCTATCCAACTTCATAACTCCAAGAAGAAAATCTTGATAGTTTGATAAACCCATTGGTGTGTACATACTGAGGATCATTGGCATGCCCATGATTGATTGAGGCCTAGCCAAATCATGTGGTGGGGAGATCCAAGTGAAGCTGCACTAGATGTTAAAGGAGGGCCTTTGGCATAGAGACAACAAGGAAATGAGCATCTAACCATGGTATTGGTTGAGGTATAAGTCTCGAGTACTTGTATGTTGACTTAGCAAGTAGTGGATTAAGTTTTGGTGAACTAAGAAGATTTCTTGTGTTTTTTTCAAGGAGGGTTTTTCGCGTAAATAAATCACTCGTATTATTTACTGTTTCTCATATACACTTTTGATTATGAGCACACACGCGCACTATGTGTTTGTGATTTTGATTGATTGAATATTCATCCCCTCTAGGTATAGTGTTTTGAGCTCTACGTGTATAATCGTGAGGCAAGATCCACATCTAGTTCTCTCTTTCAAAATAAAAGGTTTCATTTTTGTTACAACATACAAACATAGAAGGATCTATTGTGCTATAATAGGATCCCAAGATTAGGAAAAAACCACCCACTGAATCGGTAAAACCAAGCACTGTGCTTGGTTAAGCCCATAAAGAGCTTTCTTTAGACGACATATGAAGTCTGAATGAGAAGAATCTTCAAAGCTAGGTCGTTGCTCCATGAAAACTGCTTCAAATAAATGCCTATGAAGGAAGACATTTTTTACATCTAGTTGGTGAATATTCCAACCTTTCATAAGTGCAATAGATAAAACAAGATGAATGCTTCTGGGCTTTACAATAGGAGAGAAAGTCTTAGAAAAATCAAGACCTTCAATTTGACTCAATCCTTTGGCACCAATCGAGCTTTAAGACGCTCCAATGAACTATCAGATTGAATCTTGGTCTTATAAACCCATTTGCTACCAACCACATCCATATGGGGAGGACAAGGAACAAGCTCCTAAGTATCGTTATGTTTGAGGGTATCAAGTTCTTGCATGGCCGTGGTCCATCCTTTATGTTGAAGAACAGTCTTAACATTCTTGGGCTCTTTGGGAAATTCAACAAAAGAAAGAGGAGCATACCATGGATTGGGTTTGACAACACCGGACTTGGAACGAGTCACCATAGAGTGGGCACCATGTATAGAAGGATTGGAGGGTGAGCTAGGGTTTGAAGGATCAACAATTAGACTTCCAACAGAAATAGGCCTCGGGCTCTCAGTATTGGACAAAACACTTGGTGAGTTCGAGACTTGCATGGTTTGACCATTTGGGCCATAAGTCTCCCTTTGTGAACATGTATCTGATCCGGGTTCTTGAGAACATTGGCATGGATGGGAACCATTGGACTTGCCAATGGTTCCATTTACCTTATTGCTAGATCTCGTGGCCCATTGAGAACTAGTGATGAAGTAGAGACAGCCAGGGTAGTGTCAACCCACTCCTTGAATGTGGTCATGAGATTATTTTCTTGTGAAACATGCAATAAACTTAGGTTAGCTACTAGAAAAATATGTTCATAAAAAATAACATGCTGAAAAGTGTAGATAAGATTTGTAGGAGGGTGCAAACACCAGTATCCCTTATATTTGGAATTGTATCCAATGAAAACACAAGGCATTGATTTGGGTCCAAGCTTATTTGCGGTAGAGCCCAAGTTCAATAATATTAAGATGTTTCGTTTCAGCCATACAATTCTATTTAGAAGTTACGGGACAAGACATATGATGAATAATTCCAAGTTTATTGAGATAACTTGTAAACACTACATCCTGATACTCACATCCACCATCCGACCAAAATACTAAAATCTTCTTAGCAAACTGTCATTCTACCATTGCTTGAAAATTAAGAAAACATCGAAAGAAAAAAGATTTATGCTTAAGACATAAATCTCGTGCATTCATTCACAAAACTAACATAATAACGATACCCATCATGAGAAATAACACATGAAGGCCCCATAAATCCGAAATAGGTTCAGTAGAGTAATTCCTAGTTGAAGTAAATGGTAAACGACAAAATTTTTCAATCTATATCATAAGTAGTTTATTATTGTCCCAACTATCAATTTAATCCAATTGCCTTTATTCAAGAACCGAACCACCTTTAAAGTCTCCAATTCCATACCCTTTCACTTGCACTTCGGTGACGGTTGGAGAAGGCGGCTTGTTGTTGAATGTTCTCAAGTGCATGTAAATTTCCTTGCCTACTTCCCTTGATCATGATACTCTAGGTTTTCCTATCCTTTATCACAAAATTGTCATTTGAGAAGTCAATGCAACATGGATTATAAGAAATGAATTGCCTCACAGACAAAAGATGTTTTGTTGAGTTTCAGCACTGAAAGAACATTTTTCATAACCATCTGACCGTGACTAGTATTAAGGAACATCACCAGTATGAGAAATTTTAAGAATATCACCATTGGCAATCATAACACGATTATAACCATTGTAAGTTCTCAGATTAACCAAAATACCTGAATCGCTTGTCATGTGGGTGGAAGCTCCAGTATCTAGAAACCATGCACTATCTAGACTATCTGTAATAGTCATAGCACAAAGAGCCTGTGGAATATCACTTAGAGCAAAAGACTAATTAAACCTGTGCCAACATTTAAGTGCAATATGGTTTTTCTTTCCACATCTTTGACATGGTGCATTAGATCTAGAATCAACAAATTTGCCATGCTGTCTTGAATTTGGTTGCCGAGGCTCTTGGTTTCTAGTATTCGATGTAGGATTAGGAGCACGATTCCACCGATTTTGTTGGCCAAATTGGGTAAATCTCTTACCTTTTGAAGAAAAAATGTTGCTTCCATACCCCTTGTTAAAAGAGCCATATTTCTTTTGGCTCACAAATGCCACTGTTTGATCACTAGAAATAGGTGGTTCATTTGTAGTCATCCGAGTTTCATGGCTTTGCAAGAGTGGTATAATCTCAGTCTAAGATGGTGTTGGTGTTTTAAGCATAGTTGTGACAAAAGCCTTATATTTAGTGCATAAACTATTCAATAACCAAAATACTTTCTTTTTGTCCTAAATTGGTTTGCCATAGCAATGAAATCATCACAAATGTTTTTAAAATCTCTAAGATATTCAGTCATGGTTGATGTGCCCATCTTAGTCATTTTTAATTTTTGAGTTGGATGAAATTCTCTCTCTTGAGAGTCCCATACCTCTTTTGAAGTCTCAAGTCCTACCACTAGGCTCAAAGTATCTTTAGTGGGTGTACCCGTTGTCTATCCTCGAAGTAGACGATTCGAACGTCTCCACGCTATAAAATCAAGGTTAACAACCTTTTTATGATTTGTAGTTGAATCCAGAGCTGGTGCCATATTTGGTGGTGGGGGAATTTCTCCATTTATAAAACCAGTAAAATCTTGGCTTTCAATTGAGCCTAAGATTTGAGTGAGTTTAATTGACACAAAATTGCCAACATCCAAAGTAGATGAGTAAGGGTATTGGTTGTGTTGATTAGCCATTACAGAGTTTGAAAAAAAAAGGGATCTGATGATTTGAGTCACAAAAAATATGATTGGTTCAACCCACACAACTTTTGTTATGTGTGGCTCTGATACCATAAAGAGGTTTACAAATATTGGATATTTTGGTCTCTCATTGATTCAACGTGAGAAGACGCAAGGCAAACTTTACTTGATATATTAAGTGACTTGACACACGAGATTCTTCGAGAGATTTTAGATAATAATTTACACTAGTGAGAGATAAAAGTTTCCTAGAGTTATCCAACAGCTTCCTTGATGTGCACATCTTTAGCCTTGACTGTAGTATCACCATAGTCTGGACTCTCGGTCCTAATAGTGTCCAATCTAATGTTCTTTGTAATCCTAAAGCTGAAAATGTGTCGTCCTTCAAGAGTACTTAACTTCGACGTAGCATCTAATTGCAATAGAGTCTATTGGTTTTGACATAAGCTATAGAAACTAATTATTCATCTCAAATAAATTGTAAATCATTATCAAAATTTAAAGCCCGCACTACTTTGATACATATTGTCAATTATCCGATGAGTATTAGTATTTGATATGTATCGGATACGGATACAATTATCCGTGCTTCGTAGAGTAAAAGACAAGAATTTATGTGTCTTTTTGTGATGGTTGCCAATATCCACTTTTGTTAACTATTTAGATGAAAGTTAGTAAATGGACCATTTACAAATAACGTACAAACTTTAAAGACCAAAATGACACAATTGTAAGTTTGAGGGACCAAAGTCCGACTGAACGAATCCTTCAGAGGCCAACAATGCAATTTGCCCTAAAATAAAGAGAAGACTAGTATTTAAAATAAATCGCTCAAATGTTTTGTGATGCATTTATAAATGTAGGAGAGTTGGTCAAATACTTGCGGATATGTTTTATCCATGCAATTCATTCCAGTAAAGCAAATTTTTGATTATTCCCTTCTTTTTCCTCCTCGTAAACTCTTAAGGAAATCTGAATGCAATTTTGTTATAGGTAAGCCTTAAGAAATGTGTTTAAATCAAAGGAACCTTACCTGTTGGAAAGTTCCATGTCATTTAGGCAAACAAATTAGCAGTTGAAACTCACCATATCGACCAAATCAAGGAAACTTGTGATCACATGCTCTGTTTGTAGTTTTTTACCTTGACTTTAACTGCCAAAGTGGCTGTAGCTTTATAAATCAGGAAGTTAACTGAATTGTTGTTCTTTCTTGCGATTCCTTCAAACAATCTCTGTGGACATAATTTCTCACATTTTCCTATCTATCTAATTTTTCATGTTTATATACATACATAGTTGTTTATTTACATTCACATTTGAGAAGGGTAGATTAGGGAAATGTTATAGTATTAATCCTTTCTAAGAGGTCTTTCTCTGATATGAAATAGCAAATATGATAAGTGTCACCTTTCCGGGGATCTTGCTTTGACTTTGCAACAGTTTGTCTTGGTGTCCACATTTATGCACATCTCAATGAATTGTGACAAAAGCAAGAGACTTGGGCCAAACATAGGTTGGATCCTTCATAAGTAGGTTAAATATGTAAACTAATAATTAAACACTTTCTGGGGCTCTTAAAAAGAGGAGGATATATAGGTCCACGAATTGAGACAAGAAGTTCTGACTACTCAAGTAGGAGTTTACCCACGAGAGTCAAAGGCAGTATCAGCACCGAAGAAAGCAAGGATAAGTGCAGTCGCATTTGATCGAGAGCCGGATACCTAGAGACAAAATTGATGAGTGAAATGGGAATTAGCATATGGTGGTCCTAATGCTTTTCGGTCCTTAGGCGAAATTCTTGGATGAGACCCTTCTATTTATTCTTCTGATAATCAAGGTTTTTAAGATTGAGATACTACCTTGGATCGATAGGGAAGATTATAGGATCAAGATTGTAGGATCAGATTAAGAATTGTAAAATCCTGCAAATTGAAAAGACGAGACAAAAAATATATGCAAGAATAGTATATATGTAGATTGAAGTGTTATAAAAAAGCATAATACTTAGAGATATGATTAGAATTTGGGAAACTACAGTCTGAGCATTGAAGATGGTTAAAGATTAAAGGTGGGCTATTAATCTTGTGGGATATTGTGAGGAGTAGAAGAATTAAAATATTTTGATCTTAACTTTGAGAGAGAGAGACGAACATAGAGAAGAGACTGAAAAGTTGAGAGACTGTTGAATAAATAACTTTAATGGATCGACATATAAACAAAAAAAAAATAGAAGGGAGTGAAAATGGAAGACTATTCTGCAATTATCATTTGTGAGCAATTATACAAGACAATCACATTTGATTGATTCTTCAAGTATTAAAACAATAAATATGAATTGTGTCATGTTAGTAACTAAATGCGCCTATAGACAAACCTAATAACTATGATCGGTAAAATCAAATTTTGGCTCGGGATTCTATAATCCTATACAATTCTATCAATTTAGGATTCTACAAGAGATTTAGATCAATTTGTCTGTTTCGAATTGTAGTATCGTAAGATCTTAACATCCGCATCAGGATTTTGATAACCATGGTGATAATAGATATACTATTGATTTAGTTCTCTAAATATGAATATATATTTGTATAAAAATTATTTTCTTTCGATTTGAGTTGCAAATTTTTTTAAACTGATAGAATCCTCTCGAGGTCTAATAGTTAATGTAATATTAAGATACTAAATTTTTAGTCCAAAACTAGATACTCAAGTAATGTGTCTAACATTAGTCTAGGGGTCGTAAAAATAAAATTTGACTTTATTGAACATGGATCTAAAAGCTTTCATATCAAATTTTTAGGGGCCTTAAAAACAAATTTGTATTTGATTAATCTAGGTGTGAAAATTTTAACCAAAATTGGAATTAATTAAATCTAAGTGTAGAAATTTTATGAGGAGACTTGAAAATAAAATTAAGCTTACGAGTCTAAAAATAATATTTAGGCCTTACGAGAAAATTTTGACTTAATTGAATTTGTGTCTAAAAAGTCTATTTGGAGCCCTTACGATAAAATTGGGCTTAATTAAACATTGATTTAAAAGTTTGTTGGGGACTTCTAGAACAAATTTAGACTTAATTAAACTTGAATCTAAATGCCCTGAAAATAAATTAAGCTTTATTGAATCTAAGTCTAAAAAAATTTGAGGCCCCTAAAAATTTGGGGCCCTAGGCAACAGATTTGGTTGCCTACCCTTTGGGTTGGCCGTAGCTGGAAGATTAAGATATAACTATGTAAGCCAAGTATACGAAGAACTGGTCATTTGAAGTGAAAGAATTCTCCTAATATATTGTACTTTCATATAAAAGAAAAGATGTTCTAGAGGTCCTTACAGCTGCTAAGAGTGCTTCGTTATTCCTATTTGTGTATGTTATTTGTTTGGAATTTTATAAGGTACATGTTAATATTTTGATAGGTTGAAGAAAGAGTTCGTACGAAGGGTCGCGATTTTCAAAAATCTAAAACAGGCTCTGTCCTTGCTTTCAAAGTCAGCTTTAGAGAGTAATTGACCTCTTACACTTATTTATTATACTTGTTTGCCACGCCCTTGTTCTCTTCATATGTTACTGTCTCTGTCTTGGCCCCTCCTTCTCTCTCTCTCTTTTTTAGATAATCAATTAATGATATATGGATTGTGTCAGAATTAGTCAAAACCTCCTATACAGATGTCTCATTCGATTAAATGTCATTTTACTTTTAAGGTTAATGTCTTTGTCATCGATTCTTGGCTATGCAAATACTTGATGCATCTGTTAGTTGTCCCATAAATTGATGCAAAATATGATCTTTAATTTGAAATCATATGCAAATTCTTTGATAAATTGTTGGAGCACTAATATATTGATTAATCCTAACTAACATTTGTGGTTTATAATTTTGAAATGTGGAAAGCTTTATACAATTAGTTTGACAACTTGTGGATCATTAGGGCATTTTGGTTTTTTAACCATGTTAATTTTGGAGGGAATTTTTTTTTTGTTGCATGACTCATCATCAATTCTTTTAATTTGGTCGTAACAGGTAGTTATGCACATTAGTTGCAAACCATACAAAGGATACATGTGACTTTTTTTAAAGGTGAAGGGGGTGATGTTCAGAGGGGTCTAACCATAAGGGTAAATTGAAGTTACCCTTTTTATTTTTCCAATTTTGGGTACCTAGAGTCTGGGTCAGGATTATTTGTATTTGGACTAGACGTGTGTGCTTTGTGGATAGCAAGCTCTTTGAGATTTTTTTTTTGTGTGCTCTATGGGGTGTTTCTTCATCTAAATTGTAATATCTATTTTCGGATTGTAAAATTTGTTTACTTACAAAAAAAAAAAGTGATCATGATCCAGAAACTGTTTAACTGTCTGACTTTTGAAACAACTCAAAACTGTATAAACACAGCTCAAACTTTCTCATCATTGTTTTTGTTTTGAGATTATAATGCTTAGTAAAGGCATAAACCTAGCCTATATACAATATATTTACTTCCATGGCTTGACACAAGAATATCATTGTATAAATGTTAATTGTGATTACTATGTACTACTTCAGTTCATTTGTTACATTCATTTCCTGTGACATATTATGAACTGTCATATTTACATTGGTTTTTTGTGATTGACAGCTTCAATCCTGTTGATTCCTACATATGGTTTGAACTATATGGATCACCGTCTGATAGGGATGTTGATCTTCTTGGTAGTGTATGTAGATTCTTTTGCCTTTCTTTTATTGTTTTCTTGCTACCGTATTGAGTTCTTGTTTATATTTCAAACAACAGAATTTGTTGACAAGAGTTTCTTACCTTTTGCCTTTTCATTTCACTGGTTCACTTCGTTTTGATATAGCTTAAGTTCAAAGCAACTGGTGATGGAATTTGTGCTGCTTATGTGACAGGTAATTCAATCATGGTATGTCATGGGGCGCTTGGGCGCATTTAATTCATCTAATTTGCAGGTATGGTCATATATTATCATATTCAATTCCTTTCATGATCATCTTTTGGGTCATTACATTTTAATTTGTAGTTCATGTCTGTATATCATAAAGTAGGTAGGTTATTATTGTTTCATAAAACACATTCTATAACCAGGTAGGCAACAGAAATTTGTTGGTCAGGGATGTGTTATCTATGTTTTTTTCCCATTTGGCTGATGGAGGATTTGATCATCCTATCCAATTCTTAAAAAACAAGAAGGTTCATGTGTGCAATTTCTGCACACTTATCATATATAATAAAAAAAATTGTGTTGTTTGTATTCTTACTACATTTGGGTTTCAGGAACTATTCATCTTCAGTGTAAAGAATTGGATTAGGTAATTGAAAAGAAGAAAGCACTATGAGAAATTTATGAACTGGTATCAATGACAAACAATTGACAGCGATAATTAGGAATTCTCTTTCTGGCAGTTAAAGTTTATGGACAAGGGGAATGCTGATTTTTGAGGGAGAAGCATCTGCCATGCTCTTTCAATATCTGGCCAAATGTTAAACGCTTGATTGAGATTGGTGTTGAATGTTCTAGGGGATCGGCAGAAAGATATTATGTCGTAAACTGGCCAGATAGATCTGTTGTGGCATAGATATTTTCTGGGTGGATTATTTGTCACTCTGTTTTTTGTGTTTCGATTTCTGTCAATTTGTTCTTTTGTAGTTGGAATAGGGAAGGGGGTAAGGCGGGGGATCAGTTGGCTGATTTTCCCCTTTTTCCTTATAAATTTTACTATTCATAAAAGAATAAGAACTTCTGCCGCAAACTCTCAACTTTTCCCGTAATATTAAAGGCTGCATGATGCATTCTTGTAAGGAAAAGCAGCAGTGCATAAATATGTTAAGAGAAAGAAGCAGATGTCAGCTCTTCTTGAACTATTTGGAATGCTTTCAATTGGTTCTTGGTCAAAAAAACCTTTTGAAAACTATTGTTAAGAGATGTCTATGAGTTTATTTTTGTACTTTGAGTCTTATTATTATAAATGCATGAGACTGAGGGAGATAACTTAATTCTTTCATTAGCTCTCGCTATTGATTCGTTTTGGAACATATAGTATAAATATGAATTACATACTAATTGATTGTGTTTATATAGATTTATAATTATATATTATTAGATCATAGAAAATAGAGTACAAATGTATGATAAATGATAAAGATTTAGGGGTCGTTTGATAACGTTTTTGTTTTCGAGTTTCCAAAAAAATAAAAAACAGAGACAATTTTTGTCTCTGTTTTGTGATAAACACTGAAACAGAAAACATGTTTGAGAGTCATTTGTGTCTATCAAATTATGAGAATAAAAATAAAAAAACATGTTTGGTAACCACTTCAAGTTATATCATTTTTTAAGAAAAAAATTTATGCAATGAATCAAAGAATTACAAGAATCAAATTTTGGAAAAAAAACTGAAATCTCACCCAGTTGGCGTTAATCCTTCAAAATGCCCTATTGCCAATAGCAATCATCCCAATCCCAATTCAATCTCAAATGGCAATTCAATCCCACCCCCAATTCAATACTAAAATAAATGGCAATTCAATCTCAATCTCAATCTCAATTCAATCACAAAAACAACACACAACACACACACAAATAGAACACAATGCGCACGCACACACACACACACACACGCCAAGCACACAACACACACACACAGACAGCACACGGAACACACACACGCAACACACAGAGATCTGTGTGTGTATATATAGAGAGAGAGAGCGAGGAGATGAGATGGGAGAGGGAGAAAGAGAGAGAAAGAGAAGGGGTTTATCTCTCCGTCGGTGAGAATAGAGAGAGTGAGGCAGCGATGGAGAGGAGAAAGAAATGAGGTGGGTTTAAATAGTTTCACGAAAAAAAATTATTTTTGCTGTTAAGGAAGTTCGAAACCTAGATCTCATTAATTCTCTTTAGTGTGTGTTTCTGTTTTGCTTGTTTCCTGGAACTCAAATTTTTTGTTCCTATTTTTTTGTCTTTGTCTCCAAAACAATTAATATAAAACAAAAATAAAAACAGTACCCAAACATATTTTTGTTTTCATTTTTGACAAAATTGAAAACAAAAATACAAAACACAAGACAAAAACAGTAAACAAACAACCCCTTAGTGTTTATGGATGTTTTATGACATATAATGTTTTATGGTAATGAAAACGATCTAGATAAGAGTTTCAAAATGAATTGCTACCCAAAATATCATACCAACTACGTCTACCCTAATCGTTCCACGTACCTAAGAAAGAAAAAATATTGTACTACATATCCGCAACTACACCTGTACCACGTACCAAAGCGACTCACAATCTAGGTAACATTGGGCTCCTCTAAGGCAATGCCTTCTAAGATTGTGAAATACTAGTGTGTAGCATGCAAGAGTATTTCTAATACATAAATGAATGGAATTATAAAATGCTTATAGTGAGAACATTGGCCAAAAGATGTGTTGTCAAAGCTTCCTGAACTCTTTGGGTAGAGGGGTAATATGGTCTTTTTCTCCCACCTCTCCTAGATATTCAAAGTGGCGTGTGAGAGGGCCAGAGGGGTGAATCCCAAATTTCATCAAACCTTATCTGTTAAGATGAAGGGGTGCGTATAGAATGAAAAACACATAGATACCTCTAAGTGTCCCACAAACTAGAGTCACACAACCTGAATCAGACTGGGTTTGCAATTCAAATCACTCAATTTTTTTTTTTTGTACTGGCAGATCACTCAAATTGGCGACTTCAAATTGTAACTCAAACCGTAAATAGAACCACAATCTAAGTAATCCCAAATTATAGTCCTAACCGCAAATTGCAATTTTAATAGGTTATTTTTTTATTCTTATAATCTTTAAGATTATATTTTGATTTGTAGTGATTTGATTATGGTTCTCTGAAGAATTTTTAATAGAAATATAAAATAAATATTAGTTAACTATGTGTATATGCATGTATAATTAGAGTGAAACCAATTCAAGTAGGATTTATAAAGCGAACCACAGCCCAAAATAGTGCATGAAGTCTACCCACATCGCACCGCGTACTGAGAAAAGTATTGTGTCACGTACCAGTACCACATACGAAATTAACTCATGATTCAGTTAAAATTGTTCCAATTACTAGTTTTTGAACCAGATCAGCCCAAAAGACTGGGCTTGAAGATCATTTGGCTATGTCCAGCCAACTGGCATCAAAAGCTGGCTTCTCTCAAGAAATCAATAGAAGACAACCAACTTCAAGAACAAGTCAACCTTGATATAGGGAAGTGCGTCTAACCTAAAAGTATGTTTTAATTTACCTAGTCATTTCTTCCTTTGAGATCAGAGTCATCTGGTTGTTAAAGTTATCCTTGGCGTAACTTGGTTCGACTTCATCTTTTACTTTATGCGCCAGGATTCCTCCAATACTCTTGAGGCTTGTCTACAAGGTCCTTAAAATTGGGATCTTATCTTAGATCGATGGGAGAATTTAAAGGATCGGAATCGAGAATCGTAAGACCTTACAAATTGACAAATTGAGACTAAAATCATTAGTAACCATACAGAATTCTTAAAAATATTTGATAGAATAAACCTAGTATATGTGTGAAATGTAGAAATGTTATGACAAACATATAGAACTTAAAGGGACGACTAAAACTTGGGAAATTAAAATCTAGGTGTTAGAAGAAGGTAGAAAAGCAGAAGGGGATGGTTCCGTGGGTTTTGTAAAGAGGAATAGGTGAATCAGTTGACATGCTCTGATCTTAACTTTAAGAAAGAGACGGAAACAAATGAAAGATCAGGCCAAGTCCAGAGATTCTTGAATAAATAATTTTTACTAATCGACATCCACCAAAAAAGCAGAGGAGAATGAAAATAGAAGACATTCCTGGGTGTGATCACTCGCCCAGAGATAAGAAAACAAACCTAACAGTTGTTTTTAACTTTTGTGCGAGAGATGTGAGCACAACCTAGAACTAAATTACAAGTCCTGAAATTGCCAAGTCCTAGACCTAGCATTTACTGCCATTAAATATACTTTATGAAAATGCAATGTAAGATTATGGTTGTCGTAATAATATTCAGCTGATTTCATCTCTATCCTTGCTTGGGGAAATGAAGTCATTAATGAGAAGAAATTTTATTTTGTTGATTAAAAGCTTTTTCAGCTGTAAAATTAATCAATTAACCTGTGCAACCATCAAGACAAGTTACCTTCTCCTATATATCATTCTTATTCATTGGAAAATGCTAATATGGTGCTCGGTTGTTTCAGTTGGCAAATTCATCAATGGAGTATGATCCTCTTTATGATGTGGATAAGGGTTTTCGAGTGATGCCATCATCATTCCATGATATTAGTGATGTTGAGTTTCAGGACAACTGGGGCCGTGTTTGGTATGTGTGTCTGGATTGCTTTTTAACGGCAAATATCACATTATATGTTATTGTGTATTTCCTTTGAAAAAGGAACTTAGTATCATGTAATATGTGCAACAGGATGGACCTTGGTACCTCTGATTTCTTTGCCATTGACATTCTTCTCAACTGCCTGACAGTGTTGAGCTCAGAGTAAGCCTTTCCATTGAGAGTTCTAAAATAAACTAAAAACGGAACTGTGTCATTTTTTCGATAAGAAAACTTTCATTAATAACGAGTAAAGAAACATTACAATTCAACACTTGGACGCATCAACCGTGGACAAGATGTCCAACCAATGACAATTGATATTTGTTGAAGTATGTTTGCCCCTTTATTTTGATATTGTGTGTTTACAAGCTCTTAATGAAACTCTTGCTCGTTTCCTTCTTATTGGGGCAGATATTTGGGCATTCAACAAGTAGTATTTGGTGGCGCCGAGTAGGTGATTGGGAAGAGGGAATGACTAGCCCCGACTATGGATACAAGTATTTCAAGATCTGAAAGGAGACTTGATCTGAATGAGTGCATGTACATGAACATTGTGCCAGAATCATTTACAGCCACCCAAAAAGTATCAGTAAACGGACAGACACTGCATCTCTTTTTGGTGACAGAAGATCTATGTGAAGACCATATTAATGAATGAGTTCGGGTACAATCTGTGGTCAACACGAGAACATTACGTGTCCGATCATATCACTGCTCTAGAGAATTGAGGATCCTTGCTCGAAGCTACATTTTCTACAGCAAAAAGAATTTTCCATCTAATCCTTCAGCATCAAATCAGTGTATTGAGTATTAAGAAACTTCAAAGACCTGGCATTGTATTTGCACTGCGGAAGGGCCTGTCTATGGACAGACTTTGAGACCACCTGCTCAGCTGGTTCTGTCAAAGTTCAGCAATTTTTTTCAAACGTTTATCCTTCTAAACTTCTTCATTGTAACTTCCATATCAGTCTGTTTGGCCATCATATTTTAAGTGATTGAATCATTGATGTAGCAATTGCCTCTGTAGTGACGTGCTCTGTGCCGAGAGTTTGTTTTTGAAAGTGCTCCTCTTGTCTGTTTGATGCGTGGTTTGTTTCACCTTATTAGCTACCCCCTTCTGCGTAGGGTCAATCTTAAGGGAATGCGTTCATGATCAAGTCTTTTGAATTGTCCGGTGGATGACTTATAGGGTCCTTTATTGACCTATGATGTCAATTGTGTCGCGCATGTCATGTTGGCCATGTCATGTACGGTTAGTCTCACATGTGTCGAGTTATTCTAGGTTGTGTTGTGTCCGTGACATTATTCTTTGGTTTTGGTATATCCCATCATAGAAAATGTTCCTCATTTTCTCTCGAGCCCATATGAGTCATAGGTCTTCATTATATTTAAAATCTATTTAGATAAAGCTAAATCAAATCATTTTCAATTCTGTAATAATGCAACTAATACTAGATCAAGAAATAATAGTAAAAAAAAGAGCCAAACCTTTACTTTTTATCATACTCGCTAAACATGTTTAGTGTGTTAAAATCAAGTTTTTTGTGTTTGTTACTAACTAAATTTATTTATTACTTTTTTTAATTAGTCATTTGATTTTTTTCATTCTTCACATGCTTATTTTAATCGTGTTAACATGTATCAAAAATTGACCCCCTTAAACATCTATACTTTTGTGTAAAAATTAAAGGATTGCTTTTTGGCTGAAAAATCCTTGAAGTAGTCAGAATTTGTTTTGTATAATATTACTCATTTTGAATTAGTAGTTGATTTAGGACCGTTTCTCAGGCGATTTTAATAAAACAAAAGGTGCTTATGGCATCATTGAATTTCAATCATGTTCTCATAAAATGTCCGTAGGATTATAGGTTTGATCCGCTAGATTTTCTTGTTAAATCTGTCTTCTACTCCAATGACTTGTGTTTGTTTTTTTCGATGAAGAACCAACAAATGTGTCATATAGCATAATTTTTGTTAGATCTGAGTAAATTATTTTTATACCAAATTAATATAGTTGGTTCTAATTTTTTGCCTAGATTTGATCAATTAATTTTATCCCAAATTAATATAGTTGATTAGATTAGTGGATTTCAACAATCATCCAATAGTTGTCAATTTGTCACATTGTTTAGTGTCTAAAATATAGTAAAAACTTTTGGGACACAGCAACATTCAAAAACGCAACCCATGATTCTACCTGTCGAGCCAGGCTGCCAATTAGCCCAATGGGTCGTTGGGCCTCTTGTTGGTCCTCCGCTCTTTGCCGACCCTTATACTTATAATCCGCATGTTATCACTTAAGTTTACGAAGGCAATGGAAGTAATGAAAGTAAATATAAACACGCCCATCGTAAATGGATACAAGATAAATAATATTATTTAGATTTAATTTATTAATTATTTATGTTAAATTCACAATAAACCCTGTTTAACTAATTTATTTATGGTTGAGGTGAATTAGATCAATAATTAAGAGTTAATTGTATTAGAAGCCTCTAAAGTATGTGATTTTTCTCATTTTGGTTCTCAATATTTCAATTGCATAATTTTAATCGTTGAAGTATTAAATATGTTTATATGTAGTCCCTAAAGCAGACAAAGTCCAGATTGTTAACGATTTTTTATTATAAACTTATCACGTAATACCTAAATATGAGCAAAAACATAATTTATATAACTCTTGACCAAATTTTGATCAAAGAGCTACCCAAATTACACAGTTTTGATCATAGACTACCCAAATTTTAGTCAAGAGTTACTTATATTACACATTTTTTATTAAGAGCTAACCAAATTTTGATCAAAAACTACTCAAATTATTTTTTGTCTATATTTAGGTACTATGTGACAAGTTTATGATAAAAAATCGTTAGTAACTTGAGGGATTACATAGAAATATATTCAATACTTTAGGAAAAAAAATGATGTAATTGAAATATCAAGGATCAAAATAAGACAAACTCTATATTTTGGGAGACCTCCAATATAGTTGACCCATAAATTAAATCCAACTAATCTATATATATATATATATATACTACTTATGAATGTTTGTGAAAAATTTTTGATTTTCTATTGTATCCCTAATTATTATGATAAAGTCAATTATACCTACATATATACTTTTATATAATTTTTATTTTTTTACACATATTTAACTTTTAATTTTTTTTTTTTGAATTTTTTTATGAGTAATGCAATTACATAAAATTATCTATATCTATATGAAGAAGTAAAGTCATATATCATGTTAAATTATCATACATATGTTATCCATAATTAAAGTCAATTACACTCATTTATATACTTTTATCTAATTTTTGTTTTTACACATGTTTGATTTTTAACTTGTTTTTATTATGACTTTTAAATTCTTTTGAATTTATTTATTAGTAGTACAGTTACATACAATTATCTATATCAATATGAAGAAGTAAAGTCCTATATATGTTAATTATTATACACACGTAATTATCAGGTTGAATTCCACAGTAAAATATATATTATATTTTATTTTTAATATGCAATAATATAATAATATTATAAGCAATATAATCAATTTATTTAAAAAAATAAAAATTAATAATCTATATAATAAAGTAGTTTACCATTTAAATCTCAAAAGATAAGTAAAATAATTACTATTCACAGTTAAGGTCGCTTTAAATTTTATTTTAAAATTAATCTAACGGTTAATATTAACACTCTAAATTTAATATAAAAAATAGGGCCCTAAGAGTGTATTTGGAATGACTTTTTAAAAGTATTTTTAAAAATTACTTCTCATAAAAACTTTTAAAAAAATAGTGTTTGAAACCGCCTCACCACTTCCTCTACCACCACCACCACCGCCATCGTCGCTGCCACCACCACCATCACCACCGCCACCCTCCACCGACACCACCACCCCCTGCCATCATCGCCGCCACCCCCACCGCCCCCCGCCACCACCATGGCCACCGCCAAGGTCGCCTCCACCCCCTTATTGCCACCACCACCACCACAATTGTCGTCGCCACCGCCACCACCACGATCATTGCTACCCACCATAACTATCACCTTCTCCTACCACCACCATTACCGCCTACCACCTCTCACTTCTACTACAAATCGATGTTTAAATTACTTTATCCCTTTTCTATGTTTGTGATTTAATTTTGGATATAAATACAAATATGTTTATTGTTTACTATTTTTTATTATTTTGTGTCTTCAGGCGTAAACAATAAGTAGTTCTATAATATAATTAGATGTGTAAATGTTTAAAGGGGTCGAAGAGATACCTAAATAAATAATATATTAGTTACTCAAAAAAGAATAACTCCATAATTAAATTTAATAATAACTAAAATATGGATTAATTATTCAAAAATTAATTTATTATTTAGTTTAATTACATATGTAATTCAAATTTTTTAGAAAAATAATATTATTGAAATTTATTTATGTGCAATGGCGTACGTAGCCGGTATAAGAGAAACGACCTCAATAGTTTCCCTGACTTTATAAAATTCTACTTGGCGTCTATGGGGTTTAGAATTGAACTGTTAAATAGGGCTTGAGAGATAGAGAGGGAGAGACAGAGGGGGGGAGGGAGAGATGGGTTCTAATGGTATTGGTGAGGGTGGTTCTGAATGTGAAAAACAACTACAAAAGAAACAGAAAGTAGGGGATGATTATAACCGACAGGACATGACAGTTGCTCACGAACAAGAACATATAGTCTCTTACGATGATATAATCTATTCTCGTGGCTATCGCAGAATGACGAAGGAAGAGAATGTGAGATACAGAAAACAGGTCAAGGAGACGCAGTGTAGAAGCAAAAAATTGATAATACCTCTAACACTCAATTCATGATGTAACTTTCTGGAAAAGAATTCTGAACTATCTCCAAATCTTCTTCCTGCAAAACGAACAAACTACCTAAGATTGAAATGCTTTGATCAAAGGCACTCCGGTGCTTAAGTCAGTAATGGAACGAGAAGAATTGCACAAAGACAAGGAGAGTTCAGCATACCTTTCACCTTTCCTCTGCTTTTATAGAGGGTTTCCATGACTTTCGGTTCAAGATGGCACACCTTCCTTTCATTCAGTATTTGAGTTTTGAAAGGTTTCTAATTCTTCTCCAACAATTTCTCATCGTATCTTAAATCTCGTTGATTTCGTTTATCTGATTGCCTAAGTTTTAGGCAAGTCTTTAACTTTTCTTCTACCATTGCGAACTGCTCGGGCATTCCGAATGCCGAGCTCGATTAACGTTTGTCGAACTGTTTGGAAACTCAATTTGGTACAAACTACGCATTCTAGAGAATTTGGCTTGGTACAAGCCGAGCACTTTCCTGGCTTTGCTGAACGGATTCATGAGCTAGCTAGGTATGAGAGCCGAACTCTTTAATCTTCTTGCCGAACCCTTTATTTGTTCATCTTGGATTAAATGACTAGGTAGATGACTTCCTCCTCACATGATCAGTCTTGTCAATCTCTCGTGAGCCCATTTAATGCTCTAACACGTGTAGTCACGAGGATAAACCCCTTCATTTGCCCCCAGAAAATGTCTGACAGACGCCTTTCGTCTGTCAACCATTTTCTTGATTTCTCATCATAACTATTCGTACATTGAAGCATTCCCCTTTGTTTTGGCGGCATATTCAGAGCATTTAAATACCGCCCTTTGAAATTTTTTTTCTTCTTCAAAAAGCCACTCCTTTCTTCGTATTTCCTTCACTTTACTCTTTGCTTTTAGACTCCCTATTTCAGCTTCTGTGTTTCATCTTCTTTGAGTCTGCTTCGTTTTTCCAATGGTCCCTCTTACCCCTTCTGAGGTTTCTGCCTTCAAGGCTAAGTACCACATACCAAACGACGTCGAAGTCAGAGTCGCAGGAAAAGACGAGCCTCTGATTGGCACAACAGAGAGGATCCCAATTCCTACTCGTGCCATAACAGAAGGTGGGATTCGTTTTCCCCTTGACCCCCTTCTCTTATGGGTTCTCTTTGTTGCCAAACTTTGCCCTCTCCAGTGCTGTCTCAATTTCTTTCGTATCGT